CTTTTACTTGTCCTTCTAAAATCCAGAGTCACCAAGAAAAAAATTTAGTAGTAGCAAACATATCACCAAAAGTGAGATTATTTGTTCTAGATAACAAGGCCAAATGATGGATGGAAAATGTTGGCAAACTTAAGTTCTTCTAATAGTAGAGTGATTTTAACATAAGATCTTCAATGTAAATTATTTGGAAAAAAACCCAAGTCATAAAGCTGTTCCTTTAAAATTACATAGCATGTGCATAGCTGTTCTCACAAAGGGTCCGAAAGCGCAATGCACAGAGTTACTAGGGTCTCAGAGGAGCGTGCCTAAGAAGATTCCAGCAACAGGTGTAAAACAGCTGCACTTCTATTCCAGTAGTGACAACAGACAGATTTATCCTCTGTGGGCTTTCTTTTATGCATTAATTCTCTAGGTCAGAATGCTGAACTAAAACTACAACATAAAACCAAATCAAAACCCCAAACTTCATAAAACCCTATTTATACATCAAAAGTCACTGAGGGGAGAAATCAAGGGTAAGGTCTTGGTCATTGCCTAAACATTTATATTTTTATTTAACTTTAGTAACAAACACTTATCCAGCACTTGGTATGTGGCAGGCACTTCCTGAAGCACTGCGGGTACATGAGGTCACATGTTGCTCACCACTTCAGCTGAGGATTTTATTAATCCTATGTTCCAGGTGAGACACAGAAGGCTATGTGACTGGTGAAGGTCACCTGCAGAGATGAGGCAGGATACTGTGCACCCAGCACTGTTCTGACACACGCAGCCCTTGGCTTGGGGAGGCATAGTCCGCTCGGTTTGTGTCTCTCTCAGGAGGCCCTGCACCTCTGCAGCAGGGTGCATCCGGGAGTGGAGCCCCTGGCCCACATGTCTGTGAAGGCAGAGACTGTTCCTCAAGGGAGAACTAGGCATCCTCTGGGCTAATGCTAACAATCCATTCCTGGTGAGGTGATTACACCCAGATAAGCACAAAAGGAAGCAGAACAATGACGTGCTTTCACTGGCTTTGGTAAGCTCAAAGAAAGCAGAGGTCTTTGGACTGTGTTTTATGTATTCTGAAGTGAAGGCCACACAGACTGCCTGTATTTGGTTTCTCTAACTTGCTTTGACAGCAGCGTCTTCACAGATTTGGCTAGAGTTGCAGACCACCACCTAGGCTATGATTGGTTTAGAGATTCTATTTAAATCAATTAAGTTTTAAAAATTTGAGTACCTTCTTCATTCAAGTTGTACACATGAAATCAATTTAATGGTTATATTAACAGATGTATACATTAAAGTAAAATAGATCCATGTACCAACAAAAGTCATTATATGTTTTCACTCCTGTGAGTTCTATGTTTGGGATAACTGTAATTATGAGTGGGTGGAAGCATTTCTAACACCTACTCTGAAAATATGAAAATATGGAAGATACCCTCAAAACTGTTTACATATGTATGTTACATTGCATATATGTACAAAGGGAACTCTACACAGACACACAACATATAGACTGATGGAGAACCAATGAAAAGCAACTGAGCAGTAGGCATGATTCGGTTAGAGAGATGGGAAGTAATAGACCAAAGACATGGTGCAACATTTTAATAACAAACTACAGAATCTTAAAAATAAAACAACAAAAAATCACCACCTCAAAGGCACTGTTCCTCTCAACAAAAACCTCAAATATACAAATTACTGCCCCTTTTCCAAAAAAAGAAAAAACTCAGTATACAGTAACAAAAATCTAAAAACCTATTGCTACTTATTTCTCCAGGAATACTGAAAATTAGCATATATAAGGGGGAGATCCCCACAAGCTTCAGGGCTCCCCCAAGGTACCTCAGAGTTTGGGGCAGATGGGGAGAGCTAGCTCAGGCTCATTCCGCTTTTGCTTCCCCTAAGCTCCAAGCTTAAGGCCTTTCACAGACTCTTTTCTCCTAAGACACTCTAAGGAGCACAGGGGCTTCTCAGGTGTTATAGTCTGTGTCTAGTTGTCCTGACAAAGCCTTATGCAGTCATGGGGGGGGTGGCTTTTTGGAGGTGAATCTAGAGTTTGTGATTGATTCATGGTCCAATGCTGGGATTAAGGGTGTGAGCCCTACACCTGCCCTAGGGTAGGTAGTCTGCACACCATGTAAGGGAAAGAAAGAGGCTTGTCTCTCACTTATTACTTTTGCTGTTTGTTGCTTCCATGAACTGTTGCCCCTCTGCCTTGGAGCCAGCTGATTATGGACTGAAACCTTTACAAACTGTAAGCAAAACAAACCTGTCCCCCTTTAACTTTGGGTGTTGGGAATTTTGTCTCAGCAACAAGCGAAAAGTAACTAAGATATCAGGTTAAGATGAAATTTGGAGACCACTGAATGTTGCCAATTTCCTTTTTACCAATGAGAAAATTATGGCTCAGAAAAACTGGAAGACTAGAAGTCACTCAGCAAACCATGGCAGAGCCAGTGCCTAGAGAATTCAGTGCCCAGATCCCCAGGCTGATGTTTATCTGAACAAAACACTCCCAAGACACCTTGATACTCCATCTACTGGTGACCCCAGTAGACATCATTATGCTAACACCACTGCTTATCCTTATGAAAGTATGATTTATCTTTAATTCACTGAGGAGGGGATAGTAGCCAGCAACATTTAATGAAGTGTTATGAGTAAAGGGAAATACATTAGAAATAAGATGAAGTCATTATTTTGGAAAGTATGATGTAAGGAACTAGGCATATCTCTGCCTTAGAAGTTGTAAATATCAAATAACACCCGAAATAGCTTAGGAAATCTCCCTAATTAGTAAAAGAAAACAGCCAAAATAATAACAGCATTAACCATAATTTACTGTTTATCACACCGCACTTTACATGCACTGATAACCCAGGAGAGAAATATTATTCCTAGTTTTATAGATGAAAGAAATTGAGCCTAAGCTCATGGGTTTGCCCAGGACTATGGGGTCCTTCAAGATTTGAAATTTCAGGCTTGAAATCAGGAAAGTCCCAGTGACCCTGGCATGGCTGGTCATCTACCTGTGAGGTCGGAGGGTAGGAACTTCCTTGTCTGACTCCCAAACTGATGCTGCTGTCTATGGGATAACTTTCCCCCATATGCCACAGACTAGAGTTGCACAGACTGGCTTAAAGAAGGGTGTGACCAGCAATTTCAAAGGCTATCTTTTCTCCACCATATGTTTCTGGAGAAACTCATAAAACTGAAGGTGCATCATAGGGTTGTTTCTGTTTCTTCTATTTATTCCATTGGTCTATAAGTCTATTATTATGATAGCATCATGCTGTTCTTGTTACTACAGCTTTGTAATATAACCTGAAATCCAAGAATTGCCACTGCTTTTTTTGTCTCTCAAGACTGCACTGGCTATTCTGGTTTTATATAAAATTTAAGATTGCTTTTGCTCTAGTTCTGTGAAGAAAGTTGCTAATATTTTAAATAGAAATTCCAATTTGACCCAGCTGTACCTCTCTCCAGTACATTCCTGGAAGACATCATACTATAGTGACATATGGATAGCTGTACTATATTACAGCAGCATAACTCACAATAGCTAAGCTCAGGAGACAGCCTAGATGCCCATCATCAGATGAATGAATAAACAAAAAGTGGTTCACACATACAGTGGGATATTATTCAACCATAAAGAGTAAAATCGCATCATTTGCAGGAAATTGGATGGAACATGAGATCATAATGTTAAGTGAAAGAACTCAGACACAGAAAGTTAAATATCACATTGTTTCTCTTATATGAGAAACGTAAAATATAAATAAAGAGTAAAATGAAGGAGAAATGGTAAGAAACAAAAAGGCAGAGTTTGTGGAGGTAGGGTAGGGAGCCAGGGGAAAGGGGGGTTTAGGGAGGAGGTTAATGGGATAAAAAATGATTGAGATATAACATAGACATGTACTGATTCCCCAAAACAAATGTAACTGTTTTCCACTGCCAACACGCACAAATTAAGAAAAAGAAAATACCAGTTATATTTCTTCCTTTCCAGTCATGACTTTGCTTTTCTTTCTTTTTTTGTCTTTTTGAGACAGAGTCTCACTATGCAGGTCAGGCTGGCCTTAAGCTCACTTTGTAGCCCAAGCTGGTCTCGAACTCACAAAGATCCTCCTGCCTCAGCCTCCTGAGTGCTAGGATTATAGGTGTGCGTTGCCACACCTGGCTGCTTTTTTTTTCTTTTCCTATGCTAGCACTATGTCTGGTAGAAGTGCTCATACAGAGAATTCTTGCCTCATTCCTGCTTTCAACACTGAACCACAAAACATGATATCTGCTTTAGGATTCTGTAAACACCATTTATGGAACATTTCCTCCTCAATATTTACTATGATTTGTTTTGGATATTGTTTATTCCTAAATTATGGAAATTTATTCAATTTTAGTGTATCTTCTTTGGTTCCTAAGATAATTTCTATTTGTTGAAAAACTAGTAGACTGAATTATGTTTTGTAAACCAAATCTGGTTATGATATAGGCTCCTTAAAATATATACCACAATTATAAAGAGAATACATGAATTTTCCTCAAGCAGGAAAGGGGCTTGCAAACTTCAGTTCTTGTAATGGCATTGTTGGCTGTGGATACCACCAGTTAGCTCTTCTCATAAAATGAACTGATTTCCCCACCTTTCCTTTTCTCTGAAGGAGTGTGCATGAACCAGTATTAGTATGCTTTTGAATGCTTATAAAGTTCACCAGTGAGAATCGCTACAAAAATTGTAGGAAATGATTAAGATATGGGTGCAATTCTGTTAACAGATAAGGCACTGTGGAGATATATTTTTTCCTCAGGACTGCTTCCTTGTTTTCTGGGAATTTGTGAATTTCAAGTAAATTTTCAGATTGATGTGAAAAAAAAAGAAGGGTACAACAACATCTTACAATATAAGACATTTACAGGTAGCTTTAGCTCCTTTTACAAAGTGACAAGAGAGCATATTCCATGCCTCTGATGGCTGTCCTATAGAAAAGCAAAGAAGGGGCACGTACCTTAACCTCAAACTCGAAGTGCGCATCCTTCCCTTGCCCGCAGAGGACATAGCGTGGAATACTAATCTTAATTGGGTCCTTCAGGTCGTCCGGATTTGCTCCCAAAGAGCGAGAAACCATCCGCTATCAAAGGCACATCAGATGGAGAGAACAAAGAGAAACCAACATCACTCTGCTGCAAATACCCCGCTTGGACAGGAGGGAGAAAATGTGTTTCAAGTAAAGAAAAAGAGCATCAAACCAGTCGAGTTTATTTAGAAAAATGATGGTTTCCTCTGAAAAAGAAATGCTAAGCCTTTCTTTTAACAAAAGACCATTTCTTCAGGTACATCATTCCAAGAAGTCAGAGCAAAAGCAGTTCAAAATGTTGTCTGGCTTTGAAGTTCCTTCCAATTTATAAGAACAAGTGAACGCAGGGACAGATTACATATCCTGACTTTAAAAACATCAGTACAAACTACGATTCCTTTCTGAAAGTCTTGATCGTCTGACGAACTTTTTTCTTCACAGACTGCTGTGCATAAAGCTGCAAAAGTTAGAGATTCATTCAAATTTATTTCATCTTTGAAAGCTAGCCATTTTTATAGCCTACTGTGGGATGGAAAGCTCTTCAAGCTGCAATGAAAACAAACCCCAAGTATTTTCCTGGGGCTCTATTTGATTAACAATCAACTCAGCTCTGATGGAAGGGTCTTGAGGAAGGGGCATAAAAAGTACTCCAAACAGGTTCTCTTGAGTGTGAACAGGAAGAAATCTCCAAATAATCCTTATTATTTGCACTAACCTGGGGCTTTAGAAAGTATAAGAAAATACATTTTTGAAACAACAGTAATAAAACAATTAGATCCTAATTACAGCCAGCATTTACTGAATACTTGCTAGATAACAAAAGGCACAAGCAGTAGACATGGACTGGCCCACTGAAACCTCCACACCCTCCTGTGAGCTGTGAACCATGATTAGCCCTGTTTATCAGATGGAAGCCCCAGACTGCACGTAAGGTCATTTTGATGGAGGTAAGTGGTAGGCCCAGGATCTGAACTCAGGGTTATCAGAACCCACTTTTATCACCACTCTGCTCTTCTGTTATCATGAAATTGTAAAGTAATTCCTCCAAGAGAAAATTCAAACACAGAGTGTTAGAAGCTAGAAACTCCATGATAATGCAGTGAAACCACTTCCTTGACCAATAAGCCCCCCTCCCGGCCTCAAGAAGCAAAGGGGGTCCCCAGGCAGAAGTCACCTAGTTATGTGCATGACGGATGACACAGAGAGGGGCAGCTTGCTTCAGACCTCTAATTTCAATCTAGCTGGGGTGTGATTATCTTGACCTGCCATGAAGTTACCATGGCCTTTTAGAGCATCTTCATTTTCTTCCCTGTAGCTGGTCACCCATAGCAAGAACCGCTGTGGGTCACAAAAGCACACGTAACTGGTTGTGCCTGATGCCAGGACCCAAAAGGGACATTCCTGGAGGAGTTTCTAGATAGAAGCATTGCTGAAGATTTTTCAAGTCACTGTCCATTTCCAAATTACTTTAAATGTAGACTTTCCCTGAAACATGGAACAAGCTGACCCATTTAAAAGAGACAAGAAAGAGAAGTCATTTGGTGGCTTTAGTTATAAGAACACATTAATGTTAAGAAATGCTTTTGACCTACAAATGCCATGGCTTAGCCAGGAAGTTCTTGATCTGCTGCCTAAGCCTGTATGTCGTGTTTAATAACTGTATTTTCCAAAGAGGAACATCATCTCTTCCCGGATCTGACACGGTGTCTCAGGGAATCAGTGTATGGAGGTGCACACCAGGAGTTGGAGGCTGGGAAATGCTGTAGCTGGGGACAAGCTCAGCAGAGGGGAAATGACACGGGGATTTCTAGCAACTGAAATGTGGGGAAGCAGAGACCCATTCTCTATACTTCAGGGGGAACCTGGGCCCCTACCGGATATACCACAAGCCAAGACCTCAGCTGGGCTGGAGAGGCACTGTATGTGTGTCTGTGTATGTGAGTGTGTGTGTATACATGTGCATATGCACATGCAGTTCCAGGCTCTGTCCTAAGAGGTGGGGGGGGTGTCAGGCAGCAAGACGGTAACTTTTCCTTCCCCCTTCAACCCACCAGAAAGAGTAATATAAAATTCTTTACTTTTTATTTCCAACACTAAGGATTAAAACTAGCACCTCTGCATTTAACTACATCCCTAGTCCTTTTTTTTATTTTGAGATAATGTCTTGCTAAGTTGCTCAGGCTGGACTCCAACATGCAATCTTCCTGCCTCAGCCTCCCAGATGTGCACCACCATCACGCCCAGCTATTAGGAAATAAATTCTTAAACCAGACCTCTGGGCAAGGGATCATTAGTCAAACCTATCTACTGAACTTCTGTTGCTTCAAAAGCAAGGTGATCATACACATTTGCTGAGGGAGAGGACCTGGAAGGATGACTTCTACCTTTTCTTTCACAATTAGGCTAAGGGTTTCATCTCCACTTACACTCACGAAACTTTCCAGACCCTATGTATCATGGGTTGTCATAAAGGCATGGAGGACCACATCACCAATGTGACACACCTGGCACTGAATCTCTAGCTCTTCCTGCTTCCCTGAATTGGCCACAGAAGGTGGACTTGGGATGTCAGATGGTGTTTATTCCAAAGACTCAGAAAGTGCAGAGGTCTCTCAGGATGCAATTTTCACTCAGGGATGTCTTCCCAAGAGCCATCACTGACTCTCAGCCCCTCAGTTTCCCTAGTTATGGAATTGGCCACTGCATTTTAGTGCTCATGTCCAACTGTTAACAAGACAGCACCCTGCCCTGTGGGAGTAGCGGTAGGCTCTGACAAAGCTGAGAGTTACTGCACGATTAGCAAGCTGGGACAGGAGATTTGAGAGAGAACTGCTGATGTACATTGTTACCTAAACGACACGAATTTTGCTGAGGAAGAGTTTTGCTGACAAAACTGCCGAGGCATGTTCGGCCAGCTTCAGAGAAAACATCTCTAGCCTTCCAAACACCTTTTCTTACAACCACTTCTAGGATGCACGGCGAAACATTGCTATCTTCTACTTAAGAGCACCAGCTATGTTTCGTGAAGAGGCCCAGGTCCGGGGAATACAGCATAACTTCTGCAAAGTATTTGAGGTTTCTAAGATCTTTATTGTTTCCCAGCTGTACTAGGTTTTGAACAAAGATTTGGCAATTCTGCTTTACAGGTAACAGTTGCTACTTTAACTTTCTTTTCTATAAATCAATTTTTAAAATGGAATAAAACTGCAACTGATGGTCTGGTTTCTAGATGGTCATCTTATGAATGGGAGGTTCTCTACTTCTACGAAGATACAGTTATAAAATCCATCCCTAAGGAAAGGACAGGCGCACATATGCTTTACAGAAACAAAAGCAAAGCAAAAACAAACCCCCAGCTTTGGCAGTTGCCCTGGGAGTGTGAGCTGAGAATGACTCCGTTAACTGGGACTGGCTGCAATGGACAGTGTCCACATAGCTCATGGTAATCTGGGACAGCCCTCTACACCTTGAATAAAGGTTCTTGATCTAATGCCAGAACTGCTGCCCTAGTCAGAACAAGACAGGTACGTGCAGCAGCTTCGTGGCTGAGAAGAGGGCCATCCCCGATTCATCTCTCAGGTGCTGGAGACGAGAAATGTGGCCAAGGTCCTCTGCTATCGTCGTTGGCTACAGTGTACTTCAGTCCCACTCACTTCACAGGAACTCAGTATTAATGAGTGCACAGAAATGAGCTACAACAGAAATGAATAGCTGAGATGTAAGTCAGGGAAATGAAGACATTTGAGCAAAAGTGTAATAAATATAGAGGAGAAATATTAAAAAGTATGACTTTCCATCAAGTCATTGCTGCAATGTAAGTTTTAAAAATTACACTACATAGGCAAATTCATGGGAAATGTACAAGTCTGGGGATACAGAGTGAAAGGTTCTTGACATTCTACTAAACTATGTTTATATTGTGCAGGCCAGAAAAAAAATTAATATAAACGTCCCCGAAATTTATTGTTGACTTGAAAGTGGCTATATTTTGGATATCATGGGTTCTCTACTAGACATGTAAAAGTGCTATATCATATCATATTCCATTGCTTATGAGAGCTGTTTAGTGCCTGTGACATTATTTATTTTGGAATCAGTCAGCTGCCCTGCATGTGGCAAAAAAGACTGTTAGACTGTGGTGGGAGGGCAGGTGACAGGCAGCAGCGGTGGTAAAGAAATGCAAGGCTGTGTGGATGCAGCTCTGTGCAGTGGGCACAAGGAATTTAAGTGCATTCTGGAGTGGTTTTATTTAGAAATAAAAGGTCAAGAAATGTAATTATTAACTTGGATTACATGTCTGTACATAAGAAATATCATCTTTAAAAAATAAATACAAGGAAATTTGTCTTGATAGTTTTTAATGCAGTAATGTTTTGTGTCAACAAATATGCTATTTTTCTATCTTGGTAAAACAATGCAGTCAGATACTGAGCCAAATTAAACAGGGAGAACACAGATGACAATGCAGTATCACATTAAAATCTTTTCCTACTTGGGCTGTCTCTTTCAAAAGGGACCAATTGAGGAAATGAACAGGAAGCAGCATTAATATCTTCTTGGTCACTATGCAGAACAGACAAATTCTACAGGGAGGCCTCAGCACTTCCCCCTAAATGCTCTAATTATGTACCAGATGGTGAAATTCAGTACATACTTTGACCATGAAAAGGTCAGACCCAAAAACTGCCATCTAATCTCCTGGTTCCCATATCCAAGTTTGCTTTGAAAATGTAGGCAAACAATGATATTTATCAGATTTAATAAAATCAGGCCAGGGATATAGCTCAGTGGCACAGGTGCCTGCCTGGCAAGCGCAAGGTCCTGAGCTCAATTCCTGTTACCAAAAAAAAAAAAAAAAAAGGTTTAACAAAACCATCAATTCCTATCTTTGCTCTTAAAATAGCACATATTTCTTATTTATTTATTATTTTTTATTTTAAAGAAAATGAACAATAAACACATAAACATAGGTACAAAATTCCAGAACAATAGGAGGGTAATGATGGTCAACACATTGCCACATTGTGCATTGTTATCTTTGAATTAGTTACTCA